CATTAGAAACAAATTAATTATGTTTATATACAGTTACTAAATATTTTCAGGTTATTTGCGGGCCAAGACTGTTGTGATATTCTTTAATAATATGGACCACAAAGCTCTGGAGAGATAATAAATATGCTAAGTTATTAGAGGCACTATTATACTATTTCTTCTATTTTTTCCCTAAGGTTTTGCCCTTTAATATATGATACTTGAAATAAATATTCTTAATTGAAACTTACTAAGAATTAGAAGATGGTAATTATTTTTAAGAAAAAAACCCAATAGATTGTTAGCATCATTTTCCTTAAAAGGAGACAGGATTAAAAACCCTTAACCATTCCTGAAGTAGAATTGCTACTTATAGAACATGGTATGTTATAGTACTGTCTATTGAAAAGTTTAGCAATTATATATCATGATGTAATAATCACTATACTTTTTGTCTATCAAATAAAATATTCCTTTGAAAATCTATTCCTAGGTATTGCTATACTTTTCAAGAGAATGTTCTATGTTGTGTATGTTAGTTTGGGCTGACACAGATACTTTTCTTTTGGTTTATCCTACAGTATATATTTAGAACCTCTACCGATGAACTGATGTGTTCTAGACAGGAAGTGGTATGTAGGAGATATAGGAATGGGCTGAAGTATCCTTTATATTTGCCTTTGTATCTAGGGGAGTTGGAAATAGGCAAGAATGGAGAGAAATTTTGTATGGCAGTACACAGAATTTTGCAAGTTTATTGTGAGCCCTGCAGCAATCCGATGCATTTTAGTTACTGGTAAGTTTGTTAAATTATGTTTGAAATTGTACCTCTTCGAAGATGGCCATCTATTTACTATTACGTCCACCATGTCAAATATTCCTTATTTTAAAGATTTTTTTTTTTTGAAAAGATGTAGTATTGCATTGGGTTTTAGGTATAAATTAAAAATACTTTTGTTAGTGAATGCATTTGACTTTTTAATTGGTGTCATGGTTAATATTGAAGTGAAATCAACATTTCA